ACGGAGAAAAGGGACATAGGGAGAGAGAGAGAGGCGGAGGACCTCGCTCCACTACTCTAGACTACCGAAGATTCGAGAGTAACGCCTCGCTACACTTACTCTAGACTGGAACCAATGACAACACCCTTCGAGCGCTGTCAGAAAGCGCTCTCGAAGGGCAGAAAACACTCTCAAAGGGCAGAAAGCGCTCTCCAAGGGCACTCTCTATTTGTATAGAGTTCACAGCCTGCAACACTCAGGAGGTTTTCTACCCCGGCTCCGGCCTCTTTTTCCGTGAGTGTGCCTCCTGCCCGACCATCAGAACGAGCTGGCTGGAGCTGTCATCTAGCGCTGTAGAAGGGCTTTCATGTAGCGCGGAGAAATTCGTGCGTGCTTCTTTTTTTTATTTTTTTATTTTTTTTGGTGGGGAGCATTACCTGCTGGAAAGCGGGTCCAGCATCCCGTATACAAGATTTGGATCAGAGACTGCGGAGGACCCTTGCCAGCATTGATTACCCTGAAGACCAGGGGATTGACTGAGCAAGGTCTTTGAGGAAACTGAAAAAAGCTGGAAAAGGCTGGGAATACAGGTTGTAACAGATGCAGAACAAGTGCAGAACAGAAGGCGGGGGAACCTCTTCACCCTGTTTGGGTGCCAGATACTCTCACTACTCCCTAGCTCCCGTCTACTTCTGGACTGCTGACCCATGCAGCCATCCTCCTCTTATGCACCGGAGGGCGGTCTAACCGGGGGGCACCGGTAGATCCTCCCAAACTTGTCTTCGTGTATAGATGGCCGGGCCATAAGTGATGCATAGGTGATGTCTTAAAAGATATGCTGGAAAAGAAGTGGTGATATGGTAATCAGGAGAGGATCTCTGCCAGGGAAACGGCATGGGGGGGGAATGGGTCCGGGAAGATTGAGGGAGGGCGTAGTGGGAAGGTAGGTTCTATGTTTGTCCAGTCCTTGAAAATGAGTCGGTAGTCCCTCATATCTTCCAAGTCTTTCTGTTCTTCTCCACTGTCTGCTTTGTCTCCACTCCATTTTACTTTTGCTATCCATCCATCCCTGTCCCCTCCCACCCATTCCGAGCAAAATGTTGCGATTCGTCTCCTGACGTCTTCCATTTGCAAAAACAGGTCAAGCTGCGCTTTAGTGTCCAACCACCTTTGTGTGAGTTCCGCTTGTACCTGTTGGTGTATGTGTTCTGTGATTTCTGGTCCATCTGCTCTCACTTTTTCTATGGCCAGGGTGCATCTCTGCCACCATAAGGCCCATAACACCGCTCTCCTTCCTAGTCTGTACATATTCTCTACGAAGGGCGTGGCTGTCGCTAGTTGTGGCCAGTGGTGTAGCGGACCCACCAGGTGTGGTGCTCCGCTAGTGACAGAGATGGAGATGGAGGAAGAAGGGGGAGCAAGATGGCACAACGCAGCTCCCCACGCAAGACTCCAACACACGTACTCCAAAATGTGCAAGTGAGGAAAGAGAGCTGTCTCTTATACACATCTAGATGTGTATAAGAGACAGGGCCTAGACTGGAATGAACGACAACCGGATAGAACACAGGCCTGTGAGAACAGGCCAAGGGGCTGGTCTCACAGGCCAACCCGAGGTCCGCTACACGATCCTCGGCCTGTGATGAATCGCCTAGATACAAACATGCTTCCGCCAAGAAGCGGAACTCTACCAAAGAAAAGAAAACCTGAGTACTCTAGGATGCGGAGCAAGCTCCATGCTGAGTCCATGCGATGCAACCTAGGATATAAAATGTCACAAAACAGCAATGTCACAGCTAACAGCCTAAGTGAAAGTAGGAGCAACTAACTAACATACATGTCCTAGGAAAGCAAAAAGTAGTGACAACTAGATCCTAGAATGTTGGAGGCACTAGCCTCAGTCTGGTAACAACTTACTAGTGTATAAGTCCTAAGAACAGCAAAAGCAGAACAACTAAATCCTAGAAACGTCGGAGGCAGTAGCCTCAGTCTGAGAGTAACAAAGCAATCAACAAGACAACCATATGTCACATGAGAAGTGTGTCGCACACCAAAGGGTGGGATGGTCTCTGAGGGTGGCGAATGCAGCCTAGGGGTCGAAAACTCCTAAGGGCATCCACACATAGTGACAGGGGAAAACACATGTCATCAGGCTCAATGAGGGTAGGGAACTGGGAGCGAACAGAACCAATGACCTTAACAGATAGACCATCAGGGCGGGTAATGCTCGACTAAGGGGTGACCGCTATGGAGGGTTGACCATGCAAGAGAACAAGGGAGCTTGGTATACTGGGCGCACCTAGATGAAGCATGCAGGGCTGCTAGAGCGTGAGGGTCGGCGAAGGGTAGAAAGATGATGGGTAAGGGAATCATGCAAATGACTCCTAAAGTGAGGGAAGTCGGAGCTAGATCCGTAAGATGGGAAACCAGGGCAACGCTACGGTCCCGATGCCTAGGCGTATACCAAGGGAGAGCCCAACTCAGAGGAACCCGGCTAAAGGGAGACCATCATGCGACACAAGCAGGGTACTGTACAGGGTAGAGTGGTAAGAGAATGGCGACGTCTGAAGTAGGCAGAGCTGATCGTGATGAAGTCCATGAAGTTGCCGATGACGTCAACGATGAGAAGTCCGGAATGTCGTCGAGGAAGAGCCGCAGCGTCGATGAGCTGAAATAGCAAAACTGATGTGGATGGAGTACTGAGAAGTCAAAGACGTGGGAAGGTAAGTCAGAGTCAATCGTCGTATCGAGCAGGACGACGACGAGTGCGTTGTGGACGCTCAGAAGCATCCGGCTGTTGCTGAAGGTCTGACTCAGATGGATCAGGCTCAACTTCAGCGGTCTCCTCAGCCGGAGGAGAAGGAGGAGGGTCAGTGGGCTGAGGAGGAGCAGTGAACCCAGCACGACGAGCACGGTCATAGGCACGCACCAACATGCGAGCGTGCTCCAAGTGCTTGAGGGGCTCCCAGGTAGCCTCCTCAGCAGGGTAACCCTTCCAACGTACGAGATACTCGACGTGGGGAGGGTTGTCGTCGGTGACTCGGCGACCAATGATGTCTGAAACGAGGAACTCCTTGTGGCCGTCCACCATGATGGGTGGAAGGCGCTCGTATGGTTGTCCAACGAAACGCTCAGACGGTCTGCGGTAAGGACGCAGTAACGAGACGTGGTAGACATCATGCACACGAGCCTGGCGTAGGTAGTCGGGCAGCTGCACACGAAAGCTGACCGGGCTAGGTGCCGTATCAGAACCGACGGCTTGCAGGATGCGGCATGGGCCAAAGAAGCGACACCGAAACTTGCGAAGCGTGTCCGCTTCGAGCTGTAAGTGGCGGGCGTCGATAAGCACATCATCACC